ACAGGAGATTGAGTCCATCTTGCAGGTTTGATGTTTTTTGTGATAAAATGAAGATACAGTTCTCAATAAAAAATGTCAAAACACTGCAATTCTCACTGAGATGTAAAGTGGCTCCTTTGTCAAGCAAATACTTCGCAAGGGAAAGTGATTGTGTTATAGCGTAGAACAGTGGCGTTCTGCCATAACGATCTCTCATATCCACTTGAGCACCTCCATACTCTATCAGTATGCGTGCTATGAGATAGGCTTCATCACGACTGTTTACAAAAAACAAAGCGGTTTTCCCGTCATTATCAGTAATGTTGACATAAGCTCCAGCATCAATCATTGCTCGAACCACATTCTTATTATAAATTTGTTGAACAGCATAAAACAAAGCAGTTTTCCCCTCATCATTAGTTCTGTTGACATCAGCATCAGCATCAATCAATTCACGAACCAAACTTTCATTGTTGCTTTGTTGAACAGCATAAAATAAAGCAGTTTTTCCTCTTTTGTCAGCAATGTTGACATCAGCACCAGCATCAATCAATGCACAAACTATACTTTCATTGTCACTTTGGTGAACAGCATAAAACAAAGCAGTTTTCCCCTCATTATCAGTTCTGTTGACATCAGCACCAGCATCAATCAATGTACGAACAACACTTTCATGATAGTAACTTTGTTGAACAGCATAAAACAGAACAGTTTTGCCAWCTTCATTGGTTGAGTTGACATCAGCACCACAATCGCTTAATTTTTGGACAATTTTACCATTTTTTTTCTTTACAGCATAAAACAATGCAGTTCTACCAACTTTATCAGTAGCATTGATGTTAGCACTGCATTCTATTAATTTTTCAACCATTTTTTCACTTTCTCTCTGTACGGCATAAAACAAAACAGTTCTACCAACTTTATCAATAGCACTGATGTTAGCACTGCATTCTATCAATTTCTCAACCATTTTTTCGTTTTCTCTCTGTACAGCATAAAACAAAGCAGTTTTGCCATCTTTATTTTTTGCGTTGATATCAGCACCGGACTTGATTAATTTTTGGACAATTTTTTCATTTTCTTTCTTTACGGCAAGTAACAAAACAGTGTTGTTATCTTTATCTGTGGTATTGATATCAGCACCAGACTTCATCAATTTTTCAACCATTCTTTCACTTTCTTTCTTTACAGCGGAAAACAATGCAGTTTTGCCATCTTTATTGGTAGCATTAACATCAGCACCACACTGGATTAATTTTTCAACCATTTTTCACTTTCTTTCTTTACAGCACAAAACAAAGCAGTTTTGCCATCTTTATTGGTAGCATTAACATCGGCACCACACTGGATTAGTTTATCGACCATTTTTACATTCTCATTCCATACAGCATAAAACAAAGCAGTGGTACCAACTTTATCAGTTGTATTGATATCAGATACACGCTCAATTAGTTTTTCGACCATTTTTTCATTCTTAGTCCATACAGCATAAAAGAAAGCACTGTTGCCATCTTTATCGGTAGCATTGACATCAGCACCACACTGGATTAGCTTTTCGACCATTTTTTCATTTTCTTTCACTACAGCACAAATCAAAGCAGTTGCGCCATCTTTATTGACAGCATTGACATCAGCACCACCCTCGATTAGTTTTTCAACCACTTTTTCATTTTGTTGGACTACAGCATAAAACAAAGCAGTTTCGCCATCTTCATCGGCTGCATTGACATTAGCAGCACACTCGATTAATTTTTTCACTATTGTTTCTTTTTCTTTCAGTACAACATAAAGCAAATTAGTTATGCCATATCCATCAGCTGCATTGACATCATCAGCACCAGACTGGATTAACTTTTCGACCATTTCTTCCTTTCCTTTCTCTACAGCATAAAACAAAGCATTTCTGCCATCTTCATCGACTGCATTAATATCAGCACCAGACTCGATTAATTTTTCCACCATTTTTTCATTCTCTTTCTCTACAGCATAAAACAAAGCATTTCTGCCATCTTCATCGGTAGCATTGACATCAGCACCACTCTTGATTAGTTTTTCGACCATTTTTTCACTTTCTTTCTCTACAGCATAAAACAAAGCAGTTTCGCCATCTTCATCGGTTGCATTGACATCAGCACCACGCTGGATTAGTTTTTCGACCATTTTTTCACTTTCTTTCTCTACAGCATAAAACAAAACAGTTTCGCCATCTTTATTGGTAGCATTAACATTAGCACCACATTCGAATAGTTTTTCAACCAATTCTTCTTGTCCATTCTCAATAGCGTCAAATAGAGTTTTGTTAAATTCGTCATCACTACTGTCAGTAATCTCTTCTGCCATTTTGGAGTTATCTAGAATCGGCGATGACAGTGAGAAATTTTTATGGTTGCTCAGATTTTGTTGATGTGGAGTGATACGTGGCACATTTGTATTAGTTTTTAGCACATATTCTTTTCCTTGTCGATGTGATGTTGCACGTGTAGTTTGTAGTTCAGATGATAGCAGTTGTATTCACACCTGTCGTCAAACAAAACAACCTGACACATTTTCTTTTTAATTATATTCATTTCGTAATCATTGCTATACCTGCAATCTGATTGGTTAAAGATGATGCGATTTAAGAGCGAGTCTCCCTAAAAATCAAACATTAGGTGGCAAAGCTCAAAAATTCAAAATCGCTCAACTTTTCACCATTTGTAACCCATGGTTAGGCGAGAAATGCTGTGGGGTTGGTTTGTAAAAATACTTTTTATTTTGCGAGAAATCTGTGAAAAACTGAAATCAGATGTGGACGTAAAATAATCACCTTCAAAAACGTCCATATTCAACGGCCTCGTGTGACTCGGAAAAGAAACTTACAAACCTCTATTTTATATCATTGAAACACTCGACTCTTCGTGAWTGTATTTCGTGAATTTCAGTTAAATTGGGATAATCTTTGCTTTGGAAAGAAGTCGTTAGAAAGCGCTACCAAATTCAAAACGAAATATGGAGGTACACTACAAAATTTTTTTGTCCCACTGCCTTTTGCTCAAAACTCAAGAAAGTTTAGAAATAAAACCCAGAAGGGTACTAGATTTTAAATATATAAAAATATTTCTGGGCAAATGCAAGCGCGCTCTGTAATCCAGTGCTGAGTTTGGCGTATTTTTAGGAATCGGTCATGAGTTCTAATATTGCGTGACAGGCCGTGACAGTACTGTCATTACTATTTACACTGTTATTTGCCGTGGTATTATTTAATTCCTTTCGAAGATCATGTAGAAACTTCCATTTGAGTTATATATMACCCAATGAATGAAAGACCTGCAAAATATATGGTAAAATTACAGGTTATATCCAAAGTTTGAAACTAAATACTGGTATGCAAATTTAGCTGAGAAATTCCGTGAGACACTACTGGGAATTAAGCAGTTTAATATACTTTCCCCACTTGCTATGAAAGTTATGAAATGAAGATAATCGACGCAGGAATACATAATCTGTATTATTATAATCATTTTTATTTTCCCCAATGATGTCGAGTCTAGGAATCTGAAGCCCGATAACTTATGCTTTTAAATAAAAAAAAACTGTTCTGTACAACACCAATTTGCTTTTTTTTCTTGAATTCATAGTAAAACATAGAACACTATATTGCGCATTTAATTTTTTCCTCTAGTATATATAATACAAAATACAGAACCGGCCAAGGGGGGTTGGCCAACTGGAGGGTTAGCCTCAATTTATACAGAATGATCATGTGTTCAAGTGAGAGTCCCGTGGCCTGTCAAAGCGTTCTAATTAATTGAAGTTGCTTTGCCTTTAGTATTTGTGAATATTTAGACACAGAAAAAGGAGCCCTCAATCAAAGAACACCACTTGATATTTTACGATTTCGAAGGGTCTATCATCTAGCTATTGGTTGCAATCACAACCCTTGACCAAATTGATAAGCATGTCTACGTAAGGCTTCTTTCTCCTGACAACAATGTCTGATGTGTCAAGGCCAAGGGCTTGACAAATGTCCTGCAACTTGGCTATTGAAAGCTAGTTGATCTTGGAGCTCATTACAATTTCACAAATATTACTGGAATCATGCATAATTGGGTGTGAGTGTTGAATACTGATGTCGGCCAGAACCTGGTTTTGGAGTTCATGGTGTAACTCATTTTCCAAGTCGGCATCCTCTTCATCGTCACTTTCTAATTCATCCGGCACAGTACTACGCTTCGCAGCCATGCGGGAAAAATAACTACGGAGCTGTTGCGTAGACAAAAACTCG